CTCTCTCTCTCTCTCTCTCTCTCTCTCTCTCTCTCTCTCTCTCTCTCTCTCTCTCTCTCTCTCTCTCATTATTTATGTTTGGTCTTCAGGCATGCTGGACTTCTTTGCAGAGGTGCTAGCCGGCCACCACCAGAACTGTGCAGCAAGTACTGACAATTTGGCAGGAGCACACGCACGAACCTCTAGCCATCTGGATGGCCTTGTGCCTGTGAACCAGCTACTTGACCTGCAAAAGGCGCATCCGTTTACCTCAGCTTGTGAATTCTGCATAGGAATTCGGGGTTGAGAGGTTGAGAGGTAGAGAGGTAGAGCATGTCTGTGCTGCACAGCGTATTCTCGGCCAGCTTAGCATTAACGTGGAACAACTTCCGGAAATAAAGGAAAATAATAAACCTGAAAGGCTGAAACCTGATATGGAAAGCAGAACAAGTGCGGATCTGTGACAGGCATTGAATATCATGCCACGTGTTCTCCTTCTGGCTATGGCAGACCTGCTACAGGAAGTATTTTGTGCGCCGACAGGTACACAGTACCACACGCGAATTGCAAGGCAGCACCGATGGGTACACGCTAGAAAGAAAGAAAATTTGGCTATCCACTAATTCCAAGGCAGCACCAATGGGTACACACTAGAAAGCAAGAAAATCTGGCTGGTCTTGTCTGATGTCGCACTTCAGCAATGTCCTTGGGACCATCTTTTTTCTTGCTTATTTTTGCTCTTTTTCTTTCTCAGAAAGGGCAACGACGTTAAACCACCAGTACTTGGCCCAGCTATTGGCCGCGGCACTCTCCCTTTAACGCGCCGCGCCTTTAGGGCTTCGGGGTACCGGACCACAATGGCTGGAAGCGCCAGCCAAAATAAAATTGAAACGGTACCCCGGCGCTTCGACAAAAATCGTCGTGCAGCCTGTGCAGGGGCATTCCAGGCTCGGCATCGATAGCTGGGCCAAGTACTGGTGGTTTAAGAATATGTCTGCAAAGATTGACGTAGGGTATGCTTGAACCAACCATCTTTAAAAAAAAAAAGAAAAAAAAAAAAAGGACGACGGCCTTGAGAAAAACATCATTGAATGATTGAACTGACTGGCCCTAGGTAATTTGGACTTACTTTGTGCTGTCCATCTTGATTGCATCTGGATTTGTATCTTGGGTCTGTATTTCAACACCTCATGATGGGTGTACCACTGATCTAGGCCTGTAGGTAACCATCTTTTTAAACTTTTTTTTTTTTTTTTTTTTTTCCCTAACCATCTTGTATTGGTCTTTTCAACTCTTTTGATCTGCAGGCACATCTGTTGAATTATGTGTGGCCTAACATCTTTGAGACATCGCCTCATGTCATCAATGCTGTGACGGAAGCAGTCGAAGGGTTGAGGGTAGCTCTCGGTCCGTGCATCGTCCTCAACTACTGCTTGCAGGTAGATGACACACACCACCATCATCCCGACTTGTTACGGCTATGTATCTTTCGTTTACCTCGTATGATTATATCGATCGTGGGAAGAAGTTCTAGCCCTGCAAGCTACGTAATGTGGTCGTGGCTCTCTCCTCACAGCCGTCAAATGTACGGTACCCTATACCCAACCGTCTTCCCCAAAACACAATGTACCCTGATTATGAATGCGCGCGAACTACTTTTCCGGTTCCACACAGTCAAAGTAAAGGTGCATTGTGTTGGGGGAAAGAATGCGGAAGATGGTAGGAAATTAGGAATGTATATTTTATTATTTTGCCTCAACGGTCAACACACATAGAGGGTTCAAGTTCCTGATGACTATATTTGAACTATATATAATGATCATGTGTCCCCCATATCTGTATGTGTTGTAGTGTGAAGAGACCTTTTTTTTTTTTTTTTTGGCCCTCTTTGGAGTGTATGTTACTATGTTCACTTCAATAAATAAAACACGTCCTTTTTTTTTCTTTTTTTTTTCCATGTCCTATCTTTTGTCAAATGTCGTGATTTGTTTGAGCATTCGGCAATCGGTAGTGCGCAGGTGTTTGTTTTGCCATCCATGCACCAAACTTCCTCGATGCGTTGTGGTCCTTCCTAGTATTTTTATTCTGCCGCATTTGTGTTCCACGGTTCCTTTTTTTTTTTGTTTAGAGAATGTATGGGTCGAAATGCGTATTTGTGTGTGTGTGGGTGGGTGGGGTGGGGGTAGAGAAATAACAGCAACTGGAGATGAAAGAAGATCGTTTCTGCATTTGATTGCTGGCCCATATGAACGGAAAGGGCTGCCGACCCGCTCAGCTGTGTGCCAACTCAGCACGCATTGCCGTGCCATGGTCACACAACCACCGTGAGAGTATACGCACGCCAGGACCTTTTTGACTTGCCTCTGGACCTGATTACAGTCAGAGGCAACCAGGTCTGGCCGTAATTGCAGTCAGATACATTTAGGAAAGTGCTAGTGTGAGTAAGACCTTGTAGCTGAATGGATCCTTGCTGAGCCAGTGTGCTTTTTCTTCTTTTTCCTTGTTTTCTGTTTGTCAGTTTGGTTCTGTTATCGACTACGGTCTGTTTCGAAGAAAGTTCCTGAGTCAGCAATTGGTTCAGCTTTTGTTGTGCTCGCGGCTCGCCTCGTCAGTTGTTTTGCTAAACCATTTTCTTCTTTTTCCTTGTTTTTTGTTTGTCAGTTTGGTTCTGTTATTGACTATGGTCTGTTTCGAACAAACCTCCCGAGTCAGCAATTGGTTCAGCTTTTGTTGCGCTCGCGGCTCGCCTCGTCAGTTGTTTTGCTAACCGCATTTGTCTACAGGCGGATGCATCGATGTACTTAGTATTATTTTGGGGGCTTGTTTTCTGGCTCTTGTGATCTGTGTGCTGGGCAGGGTCTTTTCCATCCGGCGAGAAAAGTGCGGGAAGTGTACTGGAAAGTCTATAATTCACTGTACATCGGCGCTCAGGATGGGCTAGTAGCCGCGTATCCGATCTTGGAAGACGATGGAAACAACACATATAGCAGACCTGAACTCAACATGTTCATCTGAAAGGGAGGTGTTTTTTTCAGAGGAGAGAGAGTTCTGAAAAGAGGAACCGACCACACGTGTCATTGTGCCCATTTGGTCATTCATTCATCTGTTGCTAAGTGATTTCCGTCCACCACAGCAGCCTGTTCTGCGTCCCTTCATCCCTTCCCCCTCCCCAGCCCCGCTCTATGTTCCGTCCTCCCACCCCTCGGCTGAGTCCGCTCCCTGTATGATTGAATAGATGTTACGGGAATTTCACCAACACAAAAGTACACACAGCTTGCACTGACCAGGAGGCATGAGCTGCTGCTGCTGCTGCTGCTGAGTTATTAGCTCCCTCTGCCAAACATAATTGGCATCTGTATTGTATAGTCCCCGTTTCGGCTCGGCAAATTTGTTCATCAGAGCAGAGTCTGTGTGCAGGATTCACCCCAAGTCTTGTTGATCCCCCGTCTTTTCTGTTTTTTCAATCGTTTTCCGATGCCCAGTCTTGGTCTCTTTATGTTTTGTTTCATTTCCGTCCCTGTTGCTGCAGTCATGACCACAGTTATTGAGAGCTGGTATGAACATCAGCTAGTTTGATACAGAAGGTTCACGTCTCGGCAGGGTGTCTCTGCCTGTGGCAGCAGTTCCGGAGGAAAGGCAGGTGCACAGCGAGAACTCGCAAAAACAAAACAAAAAAAAACTTAATGTTCCTGCAAATGCATTGCGCCCTCACATTGACTGTATCGGAATGGAAAAATTAGTTTGTACATGTTCACGATTAGGATGCGTTGTGTTCGGGGGAAGACGGAGGTTTGAGAGGTTCATGTCTCTGGAGTCTGGAGGTCTTGCCTCCTGTGGTGGTGATACAGTTCTGGCTGGCTGTATTGATAGTAGTAGACAAATGCAGCGAGAACGGGGATTGAACAGCAGCTACCGTCTTCACCGGAATAAAACGTACATGTCATGATTGCTGTATTTGGGGAAGCATTCAGTCTATAGATACAGCGACAATGACCGTACGTTCTATTTGGGTGAAGTTGGTAGTAAGCGGCAGGAAAGCTTCTTGTCCCCGGTGGGTGTCTCTCATCTACATGGGATTTGAACTCCCGCCACGTTGGGGGTGGGTATTTGAACCACAGAGTCGTCGTATGTTTGTTTCCTGCAGCCTCTCGGTTCCACAAAATTTGCTTGTTTAGCGAGGAAAGGCGTAAGCGTCGAGGAGACAAGTCTCCCTTTGTTTCCAGTCCGTCATCAGTGTGCTTCCATACACGAATGTCTTGCCACCCAATTGCTCGTCGCCATCCGGCAATGGCTAGAGCCAGGTGGAGAATGCTTGCAGTCCGGAGGGTTTTTTCTTTCAGAATCTGTTATTAGTGTGCCCTTGTGTGTGCGCCAGCCCACTTTGCATCACAGCCGTTCAGTGTGCGGTTTTCTTAATCAAAGGGAGTAGGAATTTTTTACTGTTTCAAAGTTCAACCGCCATATGAGGAATGATGGTTCAAAAAAAAAAAAAAAAACGAGAGGAGGAATGATGGTCGCAGATGGTCTCTGTGTTTGTCGGTCCGGAGAAATAGGGAGAATGAAGTTTATGGTAGGTTTTGCAATCGTCTGACTACTGTCCTGATTATCTTCCATTGTGCAGTTTTTGTTTTGAAGAAACAAAAAGAACAAATTTTCCCGCTGGAGTGCGATGCTGCATGCCCTTTCCTTGTGTCATTTTGCACAAATATTTCTGTCTGGTGTGGGTGAGTGATAGTTTGCTTTGATTATTGTCACAGGTAACTTGAGGGCAGTGGTTGGCGCCCACCTCTGTCAGGCTATCAGTTGTCAGGCAGTCGTTATTGCTTAACCACAACTAGGGTTGTCATGTGGGGATCCTTTTCTGGAAACCGGGGTCCCCGCCCCCGCCTCTGGATCTGCTGGCCGGTGGTGGCAGACCACCGAACCGGAGACCGGTGACTCCGGCCCCTGTCACCGCTCCCCACCCAACGAGCCCCACCCCCAGACCCCGGCCCGGACCACGACCCCGCCCTCCGCCCGTGCACCCCCACCCGCACCACTGGACTCCGGCGCCACCACCCGGCCCCTGACCCCGGCACCACCACAACCGAGCCCCGCCCCCGGCACCCCCACCCCTGTCTCTTATACACATCTAGATGTGTATAAGAGACAGCATCTATCCCCAAGCTGGCACACAACCAAGCGGTTCGTCAGCAGCAGCAGCACAGACTGCAGGTTCTTCTTCTTCTAGTCAGACGGTGACAGCTACTCAATCACTGCCACAGCAACCTGTTCCACCACAGGAACAACAGCAAGTTCCTTGTTCTCAAAGACCCCGAAGAGGACTCCCCTTCCTTCAGAAGGAGGAGGATCTCAATCTCAGGTTGAGATCATTTCCGATGTGGGTGAGGGCCAAGAGAATCTTGCTGGAGAAGGAAGTGATAACTGGCTTAGTGTGTTCACAACGAAAGTCGGGTATGAAGGACGCATAGGAGAGTTTGTCGACAGGGTAGAAGCTCGTTGGCACAATCAATCAGGGAGTTTACGACTAGCGTTGAGAATCTCATTGTTGTCCCAGGCATTCGCTATTTCTCCTTGAGATTCTAAGAACACAGTTGGCATATCACGCTTCAGTAGACAGAAGAAGAAAGGAGAGTCCACAGGAGTGGAAGAAGAAAGGTAGACGAATGATGAAGTCAATGACCTTTCTGACCTGGTGGACACACCAGAGGATGCGGTGAGGACTATGCTGAGGGTAGCACCCTTGCCGCGGTATAAAAAAAGGCTAAGGCGGATGGCCGAATGTAGGGCCATCAAAAGAGTCAAGGGCAGGCCGCCTCCAATCAGTCTAAAGTGGATGATTGAAATAAGGCAGGCTTAGAATAGTGTAGCGGGACCGCCGTTCGCATGGAGCTTGCATTAACTAGGTGAAAATTTGCACACGCAGCATAAGTGCAAGAATGTGAAGGTCACGCATAAGATACCCCTGAGAGAGGGGTGCCTTCTTCCCAGGCTTCTAGCTCGGGAAACACGTGAGGCCGGTGGAAGTTTTAGCTGCTTCTACTTATGGTGAAGTGGGAATACCCTCCCCACTTCATGAGTTGGCCAAGGCTAATGACTCTTTNCCTGACCCTGAAGTTCGTCCCAAAAGAACCGTGGTGGCACTGCACACCCGCCGATGTTTTTTTTTTTTTTTTTTGACTTTTTTTTGTCGATTTCAACCCTTCCCCCTCTGGGGTTGGGGGTCCCACCCCCGGCGGCCCTGGACCGCGGCCGGGGGTCCGGTGCTGGGGGGTGACAACCTTGACCACAACGGGGGTAAAGGTGGATTATCACTTTCAGTTAGGGGACTCTGCAGACTGTAGAGGGTTCCACCTCCTGGTGAGTCGGCGAAGGCCCGATGGAACAGTCTGTCACAGCCCCTCATTTGTTCTCCTCTTCTCCCTCTCTGCCTACGGTTTACTGGGCTGTTCTGTTTGACGATATGTCACAGCCCCTCCTCTGTTGTCCTCTTCTCCCTCTCTGCCTACGGTTTACCGGGCAGATCCTCTGTTTGACAACATACAGAGCTGCGCGGTCAACCGTAGGCAGAGACATCGATCAACTGGAAGAGCACATCTTGTGAAATGAAAGACAAAAAAAAAAAACAGAGACAAGAATAGGTCACTGAAACCATTCCTTGGATCATTTCATTTTGGGCCGTGTTCTAAATTCGGGGGGATCTGTAGCACAGGTTCATGAGGACTACCGGTAGCACAGTGGGGAGGACCGGCGGAGTGGCAAAATTAGAAAATACATCGAATTGCCGCCGCAATTTATTCGTTCCTTGGATCATTTCTACTCTGAGCCCCGTCCTAAATTCGGGGGGACCGGTAGCACAGGTTCACGAGGACTACCGGTAGCACAGTGGGGAGGACTGGCGGAGTGGCAAGAATAGAAAATGCGTCGAATTGCCGCCGCGATTTATTTCGTGGTTGAAACAGTTGTTTTATCTACTAACATCTATTGAAATTCTCTTGGTCGGGAGTAACACTACGATGCAACCCACCCCTACTGGATTTTGCCCATCTCTGAGATGGGCCGTCTGATAAGCTGCGCATTTTCCGGCATCTATCAACCGTGTACCGGAAAATGCGACTTAAAACGCTTGTAACTGGCTGCAAACGACGATATCAACTGGCCAAAAGAGAATGGGAAAACAAATGTAAAGGTCGGGGCGCACCTTGGACCTGATAAGAAAACCAAAAAAAATGTTGGTGTATCTTGCGGCCTTCCAAGGGAATGTTCCGTACTTGCGGCGCACTTCTGCGGTGCACGTGCGGTGCGCTTGCGCCATGCGCAAATTGGTGATGCACTCAATTTTTTTTATTTTTATTTTTAGGGATGTGTTTGTATATACACAGAGAGAGAGAGAGAGAGAGAGAGAGAGAGAGAGAGAGAGAGAGAGAGAACAAAGATACCCTTCACAAGTATCAGAGGGCCCATGCAGGTTATCTGAAGGTTCCTCGCAGCAATTTAGCAAGGACCCTCCACCAAAATCAAGGCAGGCAGTGAATACGAAGTGGAGCACGAGCTGGCTGAATATATACTCAGGATTCGTATTCAGGTCTGTGTTTCAGCAGTTAYGGGTTGCTCACTTMGCTWGGCCCTGTTGGTCTCTGCACGTGATGCTCAGGGCTTGGCTGCAGTACTCACCAAATGTGCAGAATCAGAATGAATCTTGTGCTAGAACGTGGAATAATACGCCGCTATATGTTTTGTCTTTTGTGCATGTGGTGAGTAGAGGCCCTTAGGGCCACTGTGGAGAAGTAGAACGAATCCTCTGCTAGAACGTGAATAATACGCAGCTATATGTTTTGTCTTTTGTGCATGTGGTGAGTAGAGGCCCTTAGGGCCACTGNGAAGTAGAACGAATCCTCTGCTAGAACGTGAATAATACGCAGCTATATGTTTTGTCTTTTGTGCATGTGGTGAGTAGAGGCCCTTAGGGCCACTGCACGTATTCCTAAGAAAAGAAAAACGAGAAAACAAAAGGAAAATGAGAAAACAAAAGGAAAACGAGACCACAAAGAAACAGTGACCCATAATTGTGATGCACAGACCTGAATTCGAATCCGGACTATATATTTTCTGCCCACGAAGACAAACTGGAAACCTAATGTCTATCTCTGCTCCACGAGGCATCCTTGCTAATTTGTAGGGGGCCTTCGGAAATGAGACTGGACACAATTAGGACAAGCACACCCACTCGCACACACATGCGCTCACAGTGTTGGGATATGGGGTGGGGCCAACTTTTTTCCTCCTTGCAGTTTGATTTTCCGAAGCGAGGGGCATGTTTGGCCACCCCACCCTGTCCTTAGAATTTTTTTATTCTTTATTTTTTATTGTTGTGGTGATGCGTTGCAACACGTGCGTGTGTGTGCATCCAAGTGTGCTCTGCACCGCATGTGCCGCGACCCCGCGCACAGGATGCGCCACAAGTATGGAATGTTTATGACTATTGTTTTGTTGAGTGGCCCAAAGGGGCCGGTAGGTGAAGTTTGGTCTTGTCTTTTGTCGTTTTTTGGGTTCCTCTTCTTCTTCTTTTAGCTCTTTTTGGATTTGCCTAAGCGGGCCTGGCTCACCGAATGTGCAAAATGAGAATGAACCTTGCCCTGGGACAGGGAAAGTACAGCAGCGCAAAATTTCCTTCCTTTTGTCACATGGGGAGGTCCCTTTTTTTCATTTTGAGGCTGCGTGTTCGAACTTGGGTCTGAATTTCAACAGTTCAGTGGGCGTGCCAACTTACCAGGGCACAGTCGCCTGGCTTCCGGCCAGAACCAGAAGTCCCAACACATTGTTTCTTTTCCGCTGGGATTTTTCGTTCTGGAGGGCTGTCAAGGAAACACGGGTAAACGGTGGCGACTCTCTGATCGTGCTGTCGGGGTGCGTCAAACAGCTGGCGTGGTGCTCTCTCTCTCTCTCTCTCTCTCTCTCTCTCTCTCTCTCTCTCTCTCTCTCTCTCTCTCTCTCTCTCTCTCTCTCTCTCACACACACACACACACACACACACACACACACACACACACAACACGTGTGTGCACGCAGAGGGTGGTGTTGCAAGTGGAGTGGCGTGGAATGGAGGAAGAGCTGCATTTCGGGAGGATGAAGTAGTCGATAGTGCGGCATCCGAGCTGCCCTCAATCTGACGTGGCATTTCTTTCTCTCTGAACGGTGTTTTTGCGCAGAGAGGTGTGCTGTATCGGAAGGATGAGTGCAGGGTGGGATAAGTTTTGTGTATTCTTTTCTGCGAAGTACTTTCGGCTGTATATCTTTTGCAGTGTGGAAAGAAGCTACCTATTTCTCATTCTCTTTCTACTCCTGCTCCTCCTCACGGCCCCCTGTGCTTCCACTTGCCCTGCCTCCATTTCTGATCTCATGTGTGGACCGTTTGCAGATCACGGCTTCCCAGTCTGTCTGGAAGTACCCATTGCGGCGGCTCCTCCTGCTCCTACGCTGTTCCCCTGCTCCATAGGTGATCTTCAGCTGTTGACCGTTCACAGAAAGATCTTAATTTATCAGTCCTGTTTTTTTCATTCTTTCTTTCTTTCTTTTT